TCAATTTCATAATCAATATAGTCTTACTGTTTGGTTGTCACCTGGCCAATAATTTCTGGATCTTGACATCAGTGAATTATGGACACAAAGACATGGCTATACCTCATTTTGGTGGTACGATTGTCGAGGAGACTATACAAAGAAACTACCTGGAATACATTCTTAACCTAGGCATCCCTAATAAATATGGTAAGATTAATAGATATAGAACTTGTCAGCTGCACAGTGCCTGCCTGGCAAGCACAAGGTTCTGAGTTTGAGTCTCCATACAAAAACAAATAAAAATAAAAATAAATAAAATTAATTATTAGCAATTAGTAGTATGTGCATTAAGTAAATTAAAATGGCTAGTATACATTTTTTTCTCAACTCTAGCAACAAAAGAGCCCTCATTACACACAGCTGCCACCTCAGTGCTATTTATCTTGGCAATTAACCTACAAAGTATCTAAAAGTTCACTGCAGGTATTACCCATTACCTTGTCTCAAGGGAACACAGAGGGACATACTACAAGAAGCAAGAATAGAGCAATTCTGTATATCATCAATATAGGACGTTTGGGAACGTTTAACATTATAGCAATTTAAGTCATACACATTTTGATTTCCATGCAAGATGATTTGTAATCTGAATACAACGTAACTGTACGACAGTGGAAATACAACCAAACACTGTCATAGAATTAAAATTAAATTGTATAATCACTTTTTAAAAATAACTGAACTATATGAGAAATGTAATAAGATTCAAAAAAATATTTTGGTATACAGATGTAAAGAGGATTGTTTGGCACATACAAGTACACAAATAAAATGGGTCAAGCTCTAAATGACATAACTCAAAATTACTTTGAACTATGCAAATGCAAAGGCTACTCTTACGCAAGCAGCAAATGCTTACTGAACATTTTAAAATATATTTTCTCTTAAAATTGTTAACAGGAAGAGTTACATTTTATAGTCTCTGCCTAATGCACAGGGGTCCTCATGCTAGGGTTATGAGATATTTTTATCAGAAAAGAGACAAAATGGCTTTGCTAATGCTTATTTACAGATCTGTTCAGGATTATATAGATATCCTTAACCTCAAGCTTTTTTATTAAAATCAACCACATACTGGGACTTACAAACTCTCTGTTCTGTGTCATCAGTAAGATAAGCACATACAATACTATAGAAAACATATAATTTATTAGATGGACTTAAAAATTAACATAAATCAATTTCAGGCACTTCTTGAATACAGACTATGGAAATTTTCTACCAAAGAACAGCGTATCTAGCAGGCAGTAACATAAAAACTTAGCTTTAGTTTTTAGAACAATATGCAAGAACTAGACAATTTTAAGAAATACTGCATAAGAAATCTGCCAGTATCCTGTTACATTTCTTCCCACTCCCACCACACTGTAAGGTTAAAATGAATGAGTCACATTTCAGTATTAAACATGCTAAATCCTAGCTTTCCTTTACTCCACTACCATAGTCTTAAAATTGTATATTCCTTGATACTGTTTTGCTTTTGTGTAAGTGGAACTTTAAAATCTTGTCTATAATGTGTCTGGATCTACAAAGTCAATGTATAAAGTTGATTTTTTTGATATCTTTTAAACCCATTTAAATACACTTATTTTATAAAAATGTGGGATTACTAATTTTTTTAAGACATCTAGTGCTGATTTTTGTTCTTTCAGTAAATATGAGGGGGGAAAAATGGATTACGACAATGGATTAATGAAGTCTTTAGGTTAAGCATTATATACTCAGATTCCATTTGGCCTCTTTTTCTAAATTAAACTGGCTGAAATGGTATCTCCAAAACAATTGTTTTTGGTAAAGGGAAGATAATATACATAACTTAAACTCCAGGCCTAATTAGGAAGTAGTTTTCAAACAGCTCAGACAGTTTAGGGATTTCTCTAATTCTTCTCAATCTACTGACAATATGAAGCTAAAATTCAGAAAATTTAAATGTTAAATATAATATTAATTTATAGGATTCAACTACTGGCAGCTGAACACGGTATATACTATGAGCTGTTCTTCTGACTCAATCTAGTCTTCTGGCAATGCTCTCTAATGAACAAAGTCCAAATCAGTAAATCAAGCTAGTGATGGGTACATAGCCAGGAACTAGAGAAGCTATGCAGAAACCAGTGGTTAGAGAATAAGGTTACAGTCAAACTTTAGCATGTCTTCAGGACTTAGAAAATGTTAAGTTCACTAATTGTTAATGAACATACAGGAGAACAAAGATAGCTTAGCTATGTTAAAAGTTGATCCTAAAACAAGAAGCTCCACATGACAAGTTTCAAGAGCAAGAGAGGCCAAACTCAAGTCATTTGAAGAAACTCTGTTTATACCCAGCTTTGAAAACAGGACTAATGCCAGGGCACAAATGGAAATTAAGAAGAACCCAAAAGTTCACAGCATATATGATGTGTTGCTATCCCTTACGTGAAAGTAAAGCAGCACACAGATACATTCTAAAAATGCCTGCAGACAAGACTAGAAAGTTATCTATAGTTTTTCTACTTATACTAATATAAACAGATTATAGGGTTGTCTGTACTGTATGTGGTTGCTGTACTGTATGTAGTTCAGCAAGAAATGTAAAGAGCTTATAGAAAGGCGAACAGAGAATCCATTTCTAGGCATCTAGATACTACTATACACTCAGAAAAAAGGAAAAGACCTGGGACCTCATATCTTTCTGTCCATAAGCTCCCTGAACCTATCTGTGATTCAATGTAATTATGTGATTCACACTTCCTAAAAGGCAAAAAACGAAACAAAAAAAACCAGAGCTCTTCTTCCCTTTATTTTATGCCACACCTCTAAAAATCACATTTATCAACTACATTAAAAATGCTAACCAGGAGTGCTAAAGCACGTTTTTATACTTAAGGCAAAATGTCATATAAGAAAACAAATACCCAAGCCCTGATACCCCAACTCATTCACCTTTCCTGCATTTTTAGCCCAACATGAAGGCCAAGATGTGCTGCAAAGACAAAGAAAACTAAAAACTGCCAACAGAACACTCTATAATGTAAAATACCTATTTTACAGAATTTATTTGGGTAAATTAAGTATATTCAAATGCTTTAGCACATGATCATTTTTACCAAATCATTGAGAAGTCAGGAGTTTCAAAATTAGTATCAAAACAGGATTAGCTAAATCTGGCCACATGTACAGAAATATAGTTTTGTTCTTTTCAAAGCTGAGCACATGATGCTAAATAAGATGTTTATTTATACCCAAAAGTAGAATATTAAAAACCCAAAAGCATTCTCCTTTGCTTTAAGTCCACTTAAGTTACATATATACTACCAACCTGACTGTACACGAGGCTTATTATTTTACTTGGTAACATTTCTGTTAAAATGACTTACTTTCCTACACAAATTTATGTTGTTCTCTCCCAGCTGTAATATTTGTTTTATCTACAGGTACACAGCTACCATCTTATTTTTGATGTATAGCCTAGAATGGCAGAAAACAACCAAAAAATCATATTTTATAAATGTAGTTTAAGATTTCATGCATTCTCATATGTCAACAATTAACTATATTAAACCAACTGTAACAATGTAGTACATGCTTTAAATATCCAATAAAAGAATGCACTATAGATAACATCTAATGACAAGGGGATGTGCTGGTATCAACTGGACTGATGTGGCAGGAGACTAAACACATTCAAATTAAAACATAAAAACAATAAAACGTGTAGATTTTCAGGGCTATTTTACAGAATATTTTTCTCTAAGTAAATTACAAAATAGATTTGTGTTTTTAAGAGAATTTTTAATACATAAGTCATTTTTTGTAGTGATTTGAAAAAGTACAAGAACATACATATGCACAAAGTTTAGTACTTTAAGATTTACTTTTGTAAAAGCATGTTGACAAATATTAAATGTTTTATCTGTATTTAAACATTAAAACAAATATAAAACACAAAAATCCAATGTTAATACTGATCTTCCATGCCTAACTGGGATTTAGATATTAATTTATATTTTATAGAAAGAAATTTAAACTTTCAATGCTTCCAATGAATATACTATCATTCTGTACTAAAACCATCACTGAAATTTAGAAAGTTGGTGTTATTATTTATTTTCTTGAATATTCTATATATAACATGCTATTTTGAATTAACCTTCAAAATTTCAGAGCATGAATGATACATGAATACAGTACCCAAAAAAATAACACAGGTTAATTTTGTTATAATTAGGACAAATACCTTTAAGATAGTAAACGATAAATCAAAAAATCTTATGCAAATATTAAAGGTGTCTTGGGTCAAATTATTTCTTAGTACAAGTAATATACCATACCATGTCCATCAATTTCTCAAATTCACAAAAGCCTTAAAAAATTACAGTTCATATTTGTTAAACAATGCATTTACGTGGTAGAAGAAGACATAAGAAACCTTACAGGAACAAAATCTCAAACTATCCAACTCCTAAGAGATTTGCAAATTAAGCAATTACCAATGTTGCCTGGAAAGCATCCTTACTCTTGCTCTCAGATTCACTTTAGTTGAGTGCTATACAATTTAGTGCTTTAAAAGACTTCAGCTAACTTGTTTAATAATATTTTTAGAATGTTATTTCTCTGGATAGACATGTTTCACATAATAGTTTTTAATTAGGAAATCACTGGATAGTTCTAATGGCAATTTACCATCAACTGATTAATGGATTAACAATGTATTCAATAATCCAGAGGACATAAAACCAACAAAAAGAATAATGTGGTGGTAATTCTTCACTGTGCAATCCCATCCATTAGTAATACCAAGCTAAAAATCTGACAGTTCACTTGATTGGATTATGTTCCAATGTGTGCTACAGAACAAGAAAAAGTAGGTATACCATGTCAAGCTTTTCTGTTTCTTTTTTTCAAAGAGCAGCTCAATGATTTCAGGGGTTGGTTAATACAATACAGATAATATAGGGGAAAAGTACAGACTAGCACTAAGGGTGTTATTTTTATTATTTGCTTTTCTTAGAACATGAATCAAAGCCATTAACTTGAACTTGAGGTATATACACAATACATACACAGCCTTAAGCAAAATACTTTTTGTAGGTAACATTACATTTCAAAATATTGGAAACAATATGTGCTGATTTGTATTTTGACTTAATGGAACAAGAGAACAACATTCAACTTGGGAGGGTTATAATGACAATAAAGCTCTTTAAAGTTCAAAATGTCTTCCCCTCCCTTTGTACTTACCACAGGCTCTAAAATGTCCTGAGAGGATTTATTACAAAAAAAATATCAATCACAGCTTTAATATATACTTTGGAAGGAACTAATGAGAAAGCAAATTGGAAGATGGAACTTCATCCTTGTTTCCAAATAAGTGGTCTTAATTTTTTTTCTTTAGAAAAAATTTAAGTCAGTTTATTATAAATATATCTAAACCATTGATTTTTGCAGCTTTCAGGTAAAGTCCAGCACTCTGTTTATATAAGTCCATGAGAAGAGGTCAGCAGAGATCATCTAATCTTCAGCCGTGACATCATCCACTCAAGCCCTTGGCATAATCTACGAAGGAAGGAAAAAAAAATTTTGATTACATTCTGAATTAAAAAGCTATGGCCTCCAACAAGAACACTGTTTTCATTTACTTGAAAATGAAAAATTCAATAGTAAGCAATACCCAAAGCTGGTGCTGTTATAATGAAGCCATGCTCTCATACACAGCACACCCGTTGCTACTGTTCAGCTCGTATCTCCGGGACCTAGACTACTACCTGACATAATTACACAACATGTCTGTATAGTACAATCTGGCAATATGCCAAAAACATTAAAAATATCAATACTACGTATTAACTTTTCCAATTCCAGGTATGTACCAAAAATCTGAGTGAAAAAGATTTAAGACTGTTCATACAGTACTTTCAAGAGGAAAAAAAAAAATTTAATGTGAAGAAATAGAAAACTGAGAAATTATGAGATATTCATATTATGAACTATTAAAACTTCTTTAAAAATATTTTGATATGAAAATGTTTATGAGTAAAATGAAAAAAGGACATCAAATTAAATATAGTTGTTCACAAAGTATATAAACATGTATATTACAAATGAATATAAAAAAATACCAAGACAAAAACATTTCACATTACTAACACACAAATTATCACTGAACAGTGGGCAACTGCACTAATCTGAAATACAGGAAGGGCTAGGTATATGGTGTCACATGCTTATAATCCCAGCTACTTGAAAGGATGAGGCAGAAAGATCTCAACTCCAGGCTAGCCTGGGACTATAGCATGACTCCATTAAAATAAAAAAACAAACAAACAAAAAAACCAGATCATTAAAATATAGAGAAGTAGCACTGGGGTGGCTGAAAATCGGAGGATCAGTAGGAGTCTGATCTGTGTAGTGAGACCCTGAAGACCCTGTATTAAACATACCAAAGTAAATAAACAAATAAATAAATAAAATAAAAAGGTAATATTTACTATGACAAAGAAACTAAATGTTTAACAAGAAACTGTTTAAATAGTATGACAAAACAGACTGTCATGAAGTACTAACTAGTATTTGTGATGAGGTCCTGAGGCTAATCCATGCTGCAATATTGTATTTTAAAAACTTTGTATTCTGTGTCATATACAAATCTAATGTAAAAGAAGATATAAATGGCAAAGAGGTAAACAAATGGTTGTTCCTACTTTTAAACTACTGATAGGAAATATTATGAAATAATAAGCGAATAGTCTTAACTTCAAACTGTTAAATGAACATTATATTTACCTAAAAGCAAAGTAGGAACTGTACTAAGCACCTGGCATCATTATATGAATTAATCTTCATAACAGTAAGATCAGAATCTTTTTCATGTTACAGGAAACAGGCTAGAAAATGATGGAAGTGGCAATTAAGTTTGTGATCCCCAGTGTGTTAAATCAAATGCTGACCAAAAGCTAAATGAAAAATTTGAAGGTATAGAAATGGAACATTGTCTTCAAAATGAAACATTTCTACTTGCCAACTGCTACAAATGGAAACTATGACAACGTCTACCATTTATTGCTTTCCTCTTTTTAAATTGAAACTGAACTTGTAGCTTTACAAGTTATACTGCCCACACAACTGTTCAATTAACAAATCCTAGATGATTTGTCATTACTGCCAAATTTAATGCTCTAATCAGTGGTTTTGATAGGTATCTAAACATGTACTAAACAACTTGATAAGTACATACCATTGTTATTTAAATGAATACAGATAATTGGCATTAGCTGAGGATTTTAAATGAATAGGTTTGCGTTTTTAAGGTTCTAATTATGCCCTTCCAAAATTCTGTCCAAATGTTTCTATTTCCCTAAGACTTTGCTTCAATAACTCATCACAGTGCTTCATCATCATGGTTTAGAGAGAATAAAATTCTCACTTTACTAAGGTCATCAACCTATGCCTCAAGCTTCTGCCCCTTTTGACTACTGTACTTCAAAAACTTCCAACTAAAATTGAAGACTTATAGACTCTTTTATCTCTAATTTTTTCCTACTTATACAGATTTACTCAATTTTTGAAGAAAACTTTACTTGAGCTTGCTCCTTTTTAGCTTTTATCTAACTGCTACATTTCATCTTTCCTTCCTTTTCTTGTCTAAACCCCACCTCCCACTTCTCAACTGCTAGCTTCAATTCTAACTTAAATACATAATATAAATATTAAGAATATTCTGATTGTTCCAGTTCTCAATAACACTTCCATTTCTGAGCTCCTACAGCAATTACATAATTATACTCCTGCATGTACTAATTCAGTAGATTTCCATGTATTGTGTTTATACTGTGGTTTTTTTTTTTTTTTTTTTTTTTTTTGTGGAACTGGGGATTGAACTCAGGCCCTTGCGCTTGCCAGAGAAGCACTTATTCCACTGAGCCATCTCCCCAGTCCCTATACTGTGTTTTAGCATTTAAAGATTCAACCTAAAAAATCTCTGAATGTGGACACCAACAGTGACATCTCTCTCAAATATTTATTCATTTTATAAAGACACATACGCTTTGAAGTTAGACACATGTCACCAGAAGGGATATTTCTTACCCTTCTCCAGTAAGAGCACAGCATGCCTGGATATGCCACTGGTGATCTTTAATAGAAGTAAGCTTCAAGAACTGGGAGATTTCTGCTACAGTCATGCATTCTTTAACATCTTGTTTATTAGCAAAAATCAGCAGTCCTGCTTTTCTTAAGTCCTATAAAAGCAAATGAACTTTAAAGACAAGTACATTTTTCCATATATTTTCTAATTTTACTATCTTTTATAATCTTAGTAACCTAAAATTTATTCTACACAAATCTCACAGCTTACAAGTTGACAGAAGTAAATTACACAATACTGTACATTTAAAATACAAATCATACAGATATATGCATTTCTTACAGACTTGTAATATTCAATGATCGAAGGCACTTTAAGTCATATGATCAAATACATAGCTCACTACAACATTCTCTTGTACTTGTACTCTACCATTTTCTGTCTTACCTAACATCACTCACTATGTAAATACTTATTTTTAATTAATCTATCTTTTGCTCCATTCATTCCTTTCCTTTCAACCTTCTAAAGCAGCTTTTCACAGCCAGAGTTCTACAAGAGAATTACCTCTACAAAAAATTATTTCAGTGACTATACTATCCTGCTAGTCAACCAACAGTGTACACAGCTAGTACCTTCTAGGTGTTTAACAAATAAATGAATTCAGGATTATAATGCATGCCTTTAGGCCCAAACTTTTGAGACATACTATTCTAAATCAATCCTATTTGTCCTCTGAAACCTAACATCTTTTTGTTCAAGATTTCTGAGATCTACATATATAACTGGGTCATGTTGCGTTGGCATTACATTTACTGAATTTCCCCAGCTGACAAGTTATTCTATGCTATTGGTTTGAGGCAAGTTAATTAATTTTTTTGAATTTACTCCTCATTAGTAACATTTAATGCATATCTGATCTGAGGAAAAACTCACCAACTAATCCTATTCTGAGTGCAATAATTATGCATATTCCAAATAACTGGTGTGTTTTATTCAAAGAACAGGTCTAAGGAATCTTAAGACTCTTTTTTGTGTCCTACTCCTCCCCACATCCAGGCCATTTGAAAACCAGAGCCTGGATAATTTCGCTGATGTCACAGACCTTTTCCTCATAGCAATAATATTTTTCAAAGTTTATGTACAATTTCAGAGTGTTAAGAGATAACCCTAAACTCAATTCATGGATCCTAGGCCAACAATCCATGAAGGATGTAACTCAATTAATGAGTCAAAGTCCCATAAAACTATATATACTCTATACTATATTTGAAAATACTGACAAAATTAAGGTTTTGGCCTTAGCAAATTTCCTTAGCTGTATTGTATATCATTTTTCTTTTGGTGGAACGCTACAGTTTTAATGTGTGTATGTGTTTAAAGCAATAGTCTTCAGTAGGTACCTCAATATTATTCCACAGGACTTTGCTTTTGCATTACTTCTTATCTAAATAAAATTTCTTGTTCTGTTAAAAGGATCTCTGCAAAATGTTCACAAGCTCATCACAACTGACTTTTAGTGGCACTGCCCTCTGCAGGATGGCAGCTATCACTGCTACCATAGTTGATGCAGTTCCCGAACAGCAAGTTCAAAACGTGATAATGCTAGGTCAAGTTTCAAACTATTCAACTAGTTTCACCTATAGTTCAGACCACATGTCTATATAAAACTCAAAACACTGAAAGAGACAGACATACAGAGTAATCATAAAGGACATAAAGTTCTTTTGTTCTAAATGGAGAATGGAACCATTATCAATAGTTGATATGTGGCTGAATCACTAAGTAGATGAACTTTCCATGGAATTTAATTCCCATCTTCCCAGCTTCTCAGTTTCAATATCCCTTGGGAGTGTGTGTTAAAAGTCTTTTACAGAGGTCCGACCTGATAATACATGTTCAAAGAACAAACTGCTGGCATAAATATTCAGCACAAATTAGGGCAAACACTTTCTTATTATTTTACTTAAAAATAATTTAAACTCATTATTCTTATTAAGTGTTAAAAAGTTATTTAGATGTACTAAATGTAATACAAGTGTGGTGGTGTGTTTGTAATCCCAGCATTGGGGAGGCTGAAAACAGGAGGATCACTATGATTCCAACTGGCATAGTTAGACTCTGCACAAAAAATAAAATAAAAGTTGTTTAGAGAAGTGCTTGAACAGAAAATAGAAAAGCATAAGAAATAAAGCCATTTACTGAAGGGTTTCCAAATAATATAAAATACCAAATACAAATTTTTCTAGCTATCTGATAAGGGTCAACCTTTATTTGGGAGTTTCTGACTTAAAAAAAAGCTGTTACCTATGTTTAAATATTTAGGAAATGAGGAAAGAAAATACATCCTTTGTTTTCATTACATAATCATACACTACGATAGCAACAGAAAATATACTGGATTAAGGTTGCTCATTAACCTGACTTAAAAACAGGTCAAACGATACAATGAACAATAGCTGACTACACATGTGCCACTCTAAACATATCCTGTTGAATATTACATGCATTTGCTCTTTAAAGTTTAAAATGGTTTTTAAAGGAGATGAATAACAGCAAGTGCATTTACTAAGAATTTTCTACTTTCCACATATAGACATCACTTTGTCTCTCCACGCTTCATTTGTGAAGATGATCCCTAGAAGCTGAGTCAGGACAAAAATTTTAGATTTTGGTATTTAGAGTCATTTATAGATAAGTATTTTTAATTTTAAAATTATCTTCAAATTTTTAGACTTCACTTTAACTGTAACTATCTTAAAACTTGTTTTATATTTTCCGAATACACGTAAGAATCATTAACCAGTGATAATGATCAAGTTTTTGTTGTTTAATATAAATATAGAACACCCCAATTTATCCCTCCCTCTGTCCTCTCCTTCATCCTTTTTTTGTGTGTGTGCCTTTTGAGACAGAATCTTGCTATGCAGTTTGGGCTGGCCTTCAGCTCATTTTGTAACCCAGGCTGTTCTCAAACTTGCAATAATCGCCCTGCCTCAGCTTCCTGAATGCTGGGATTACAGGTGTGCACCACCACACCCAGCTCCCCTGTCCTCTTCATCTCAGCTTCCTAAGTAACTGAGATTATAGATATATCCCACCATGCCTGGCTGCACATTTTCATTTTTTAATTCATCTTGATTCTATATATTTTGGCCCTACTCAAACTCCCTAAATATTCAGGTAACTTTATATGTAATTTCTTTTTTCTATAATCTCCTTGTTCAGTCCCCTTTCACTTTTTTTTTTTTTTTTTTTTTTTGGTGGTACTAGGGATTGAACTCAGGACCTTATGCTTGCCAAGCAAGCACTTATTCTACTAAGCTATTTCCCCAGCCCCCTCTCACCTTTAAAAAGGCCTTATATATGTGTGTTTTTTCTTCCCTGAGCAAAAAGCCTGAAAAGGAATACCTAAATTCAAGCTCTGACTCTTAAAAGACTGGTCTGTGTCTCTATGCATTTCATTTATAACAAAGGAAGTGCTCTGTCCAACTCAATGCTCCCAGCTAATAAAATAGGACTTTTGAGTCCTATTAGGAGGCTCTTAAAATACTGATCTTGGGGCTGGGGAGATGGCTCAGTGGAGTAAGTGCTTCCCTGGCAAGCGCAAGGGCCTGATTCAATCCCTGGTTTCACCAAAAAAAAACCACCCCCAAAAAAAAAAACTGATCTTGCTACACACAGCCGAGCCTACCTGTTAACATAATACAAAATATGGCAAAAACACATTTGTATCTTTCTCTTTCAAAGGAAAAAATATTTGCATCAAAGTTTGTGGAAAGCCAAATCTGATGAGTTTCAAAGAAGTTGAGTACTAAGGTATGTGTCCAAAATAGGGAAAAAAGTACATTCTGCTGGACACACTCACTAAAAGGAAAATGAAGACTTTCAATATATTAATGAAATTTACTAGGTTTCCAAAAATCTTTAAAGGTTGCCTGAAACAGCAAAATTCTTAAAGCAAACCTCAAAAGAACCATCAAACCACTGTTACATATAAAATCTCATTAAAAAGATTTCAATTTTCTTAAGCTTTATAAAAATGCACTTGGGCTGGCCAGATAGCTCAGCAGACTAAAGAGCCACTTAGGCAGGCATAAGGACCAGAGCTCAATCCCCAGTGTGCAGTGCTGGCCTTGCCCCCACGGAGCGCTGAGACAGTGACTGAGACTGGGTGAAGTGTATGCCTATAATCCCAACACTTGGGAGGCTGAAAACAGGAGAATCGTTTGATCTGTGTAGCAAGATCTTGTACTAAAATACATTAAAAAAAGGTTAAAAAAATAAAAATCCCACTGAAATGAAATATACATCTACATGTTAATTTTTCTATTCCTATCATAAATAGTTGAGAAAGCAACAATAAAAAGCATTAGAATAATATTACCATAGTAAATATTATTTTAAAATTTGTATTATTACCAATTGGCTATATTATTCTGTTTTGCATTGCTGGAAACTGAACTCAGAGCCTCATACATGCTAAAGAAGCACTCTGTCACTAAACTATATCCCTAACCCTAGTTTATTTAATTTTAAACCTTTTGTGGGGATGGAGGGTTGAGACAAGGTTTCATTATGTGATTCAGGACTGTCTTGAACTCAACCCCTTGAATTTTCATCAATTATCCTGACTCATCCTCAAGTGCTGGGATTACAGGCATATGCCACCATTCCTGGCTTAATTTTTAACTGTGTTATTACTAATAATATTTTTTAAGGATTAATGCAATATGGCTAGTCATATAACTTTATTTATTCAAATGAACAATAGTAGAGAAACCTAAAAACAACTATACTTAAGTACTATCTGAAAACTGAGAAATAACTTGTCTGTAGGTTTTAAGATATTATTTCCCATAATATCCTTTATAAGTCTAATCTATTTTACTTTATTTTAATTTTTGGTGGAACCAGGGATTGAACTCAGGCCCTTGCGCTTGCCAGGGAAGCACTTGTTCTACTGAGCCATCTCCCTGGCCCCCTTGTCTAAACTATTTTAAATGCAAAATGAAAGGTATTTGTGCTACTTTGTGCACAAAAACCAAACCAAATTTATCAAGGATAAATGAAACACTATTTTCTAGTTGACACCACAATCTTTTTGCTATTTCCAGACACAATACAAATTTGGGAAATATAAAATCATAAAACAGGCAAGATCAGCAATAAAGAATTGCTTTAAAAAATATATAAAAATAGACAACATCGCCATGACAAACCAGAAGGAAAAATGAATGGCCTACAAATACCCTCTTCCCATGTCTGATGTAGAAAAGTGACTTACCTCATGAGCCAGCATTTTGTAGAGTTCTTCTCTAGTTACAGAAATCCTCTCTCTGTCTGTACTGTCCACAACAACTATTACAAACTAAAATAATTACCAAAGACATCATTAATGATTACATCTCACTGACATTTGAAAATTTATAAAGTGCTTGATTTACAGGCTAACATCAAGACATTAGATGCTTAAGATATTTTGAAAATAACAGGTATACATTGTAAATCCTCTAATTAAAATGTACTTACTAATTCTTAAAAGGAAAGAGAATACAACGCTAATATTCTAATACCTGTTTTCTAAATTATTTTGAATGTCGACAGGCCTATATCCGTCTATATATGCTATAAATCAGCAAAATCCAAAACCAAACCAAAGAAAATAATCTATTCCTAAATTTAGATTACTTCCAGGGCAGAATACTTATTAATATTCATTTGAAAATCTAAAAGGCATGGGTATAGAAGCAACCTGGCAGTTAAATCAAATTAAAAATAAATTAACCAATTAAGAGTAGCTCTGTATCACAAAATAGGCTTTCTTCTATTCATTCATTCATTCATTCATTCATTCATTCATTCATTCATTCATTCTTGCAGTACTAGGGATCAAACTCAGGATCTTATGATTGCCAGGCAGGGACTTATACCCCTGAGCTATATTCCCGGCCTCTTTTCTTCCTTATGTAAACAGCACTTGCTCCCTGCAAGGAACTCTCTACTAAACTGATGATGAGACCAGTATCAGAAGACACATCAAAAGAATGAAGGCTCTATGTGGTGCTAGCCTCCTGTGAACCCCTCCCTCAGCTCCATGAGCACCAAAAAGCAAGATAGAAACAGGAGCAGATGTAGAGTTAACTTATTTATGATGTCCAAGTTAATACTGACTGCTGATTAATAAAATCCCCTATTTATTTTTTAGGATTAGATATGAATCTCTAAGATACTGTGATGTCCAGTCTGCTATTGTTTGGTTTTCATCAACCATAAGATAGTGGGTCTGGGGAGATAGCTCAGTAGAATAAGCACTTGCCTGGCAAGTGCAAGGGCCTGAGTTCAATCCCCGGTTCCACCAAAATAGCCATAAAAACCATAAGATAGCTAAGAAAATCATTACTTTCTCTTTTCTCTCACTTGATAACTTATTAATTTGTGGTTTTATCATTGTTATTCCAAGGTATTTTCAAGATGTTAGTATAATTTAATACCTAAAGCATTATATATAAATAATATATATAATATATATATATTATATATATATATAATATATGTATATATATATATCTTTTATGAGCACATACATTTCTTTTCCAAAAGATATAATTAATAGTGTTGAGGGTCAAGTCATTAGAATACTTAATAGTTTCTTCATAATCCAAAACCCAGCTTTATATATCTTTAGAGTATGCTTTATTAACTAAGAATTAGCACTACAAAGTAACAGCTTTTTAATTTATAGGCCTATACTATGAATACAAGTGTCACAAGTCTAAAATTTTCACTTGGAAAGTAATGCATAAATATGAAACATAATTATGGAAATGCTTTTCAATTAAAAGAAAATGATTTCTTTAACAGACAAATGTTCTGCATAGAAAAAAATGCTTAGTAAAAATGGCTCAGATGCAAAGCACTTGAGCTTTTATAAACTGTAATTAATATCCCCCACTTCAACTATGAATTCTTTAGAGTTTTAAGATAATGAATACACAAAACAATAACCCTGAAATAGGCAATCAAAATGTTCTACCACGCACATATTACTTACATTTTAAAATATTAACTATTTGGGTTCAACTCTTATAGGCATTTTGTTTATAGACGCTATTGCATATTAAGGTAATGTTACCTCTGTATTAGTATAGTAAGTATTCCAGGATGAGCGAAGAGATTCTTGGCCACCGATATCCCACATCAGGAAACATGTATTATTAATCACTATCTCTTCTACATTACTTCCTATTGTAGGGGATGTATGTACAACTTCATTCATAGAACTGGAACAAAAAGTTCAAACACATTACAATTCATAAGCAATCTAGCTTGTCTGACAATTTTTCAATCAAGAGGCAAAGCAGTAAGACTTTCTTTTATATATTTTATCCCCAAACATTCTTTCTCTACTAGCTCATATCAGGAGTAACTTTAGTGTTTACACAAAATTGAAACATGGTAACAATATCTAGAATATTCTATATTGTTCTAGGAAATTATATAATCAAATATTATTCTATTTTCTACAAGCAAAAGAGTGTTAAAGTGAAATAGCTAAAAAACCACACTCAATGGTACATAAATTTCTAGCTCTATAAAGAGTTGCTTAAATTTGACTCATGCTTTATAGCTAACGCTCCTCCTTGAGACCTAACTTAGGTTTGTTCTCTCTCTCTCTCTCTCTCTCTCTCTCTCTCTATATATATATATATATATATATATATGTATATCATATATACACACATATATAATACATGTATATATAATTTTAAAGAGAAAAAACAATGAAAATGATAATACAGTTTCAAAGCAAGACAACAGCTATGTTTATTACATTGCATACTATTATCTTCAAAGTAGCTGCTCAGATTATGAGATTCAGGCATAAACTGATCAAACAATATAAGCACAAACTCTTCCTTTTAATGAACTAATAGAAATTAGTAGTAAAGTTATCTTATCTTGTGTATATATGTATATATTTTTCTTTTCCCATCCCAGTTGTTCTTTCCTTTAAAAAAAATAGGATAAGAGGTCCCATTCGACCCAGCTATTCCTCTTCTGGGCATTTTTGCAGAAGAATTAAAAACGTACCACAGTAATACTTGTGCACTCATTTTTACAGCAGCTCAATTTGTAATAGCTAGATCTTGGAAACAACCCAAATGTCCATCAACCAAGGAACAGATAAAATAGATGTGGTCTTTTTAGACAATGGAATATTACTCAGCTATAAAAAGGACAAACTTGAGGCTTTCATAAATGCATGCAACTAGAGTCCATACTCACTTATAAGTGAAATAAACCAGACTCACATGTATAAATATTGTATTGTTTCCCTAGTGTAAGAAACTGAAAAAGTAAGATCCAAAATACACAATAAATATTATGAAAGAAACTGCTCAAAAGGTTCTATATAATTTTTATTCCTTTTATTGATCAAATACCACCCATGCAGAAAAAAGTCACTATAGAGGGCAGGCCTGATAGCTCAGTGGCCTAAGGCACCTGCTTAGGAAGAGTGCAGCTGCCGGGGTTTGATCCCAGGCCTGCTGTGCTGGCCCCACCTGTAGGGCATGCTGAGACAGTGATTGAGATTGGGTGTGGTGGCCCACAGCTGTAATCGCAGCATTTGGGAGGCTGAAAACAGGAGAATCACTACAAGTCTGATTTACATAGTGAGAATCTGTAGACTCTGTCCTAAATACAGGGGGGAAAAAAACACTAGAAAATATAAAAAATTAAGGTAGTTAATACTTACAACTGGTAAAGGATGGTAGTTTTCCCTGCATTATCCAATCCAACAATGATAACTTTGTGTTCTGAAAAAAAAAAAAAACCACCAGTGACTTAATACTTACAGACAAAATAAAGGAAAAAAAAGATATGATGGGAGGAAAGGAAGGAGAGAGGGAAAAGGAGGAGTGGAGGGCCAAGAAAGGAAGGGGAAGGGAGGGAAACGGATTCCTATTTCTGTGGAGGACCTGAACAACTTTCCTTCAAAGAGGAGCAATTGTCTCCATTTTGGCCGAGACTGAGCCTGAGCCTATTTCCATGTACTGATAACTACAGATCTGGCTAGGATATTTTCTTATCCTTCTAATACACAGGTTGGTCCAGACAAGGTGCTGGTAGTAGTCTTTGGAGACCACAGGTGTGTTTCCCTGGCATCCCTGGAACTCCTACCTATTGTTCTCTTGTAAGCTGGGTAAGTGAGGCAGGATGAAGAGCCAATGCTCCACAACGTGGGTGGGGATAGAACCTCAAGATAGAGGCTATCACTATCTGGGTCTTGAAAGATTACACATCAGAGCTGAAGCGCTGAGCCCAAAACATTTGATACTATCTCAGCTGTGTTATGCTATAAATGAACTTCATTAAAATTTTTGGTTTCTAACTTTAAAAATAGATGTTAAGACTTACATAGCTATGTGTTACAATGGTCAGCTATATATAAAGTACTAAATATATATTCTTTCAAGCTTAAATTACCTCTCTTAAGTGCTGAATTCAAAGGAAATAAAATTATCAGTATTTTGCTATACATTATAAATGCATAATTATATGTCAAAAGTTCAAGAAATACAGAATTAAATATTGAGAATAATCTAATACAAATCCTATCCCATTCTTACTATTTTCTTATGGAAAATCTGTTCTATGATGAATGTGATCAATATGTATGACGAATATGTACTAATAAAAAACAAAGTTTAAAAAAAAAGGCAATTGCTCTGAGTGTTTTAATAGAAAGAGAATGAAGCTGGGATAAACTGGATACTGTGTTAACAAGACCATGATTACTGTGCAGGTGAGAGAGGAAAAACCAGGCTGATCATGTGGTGAGACTTTATGCAAAGAGATAATCAGCCAGTCCCTAGTGGCTAGCCACCCCAACTCTTTCAGGAGTTCTAGCTGAAATGCCAAACAGCAAAAAAGAATCCATTTTAGAAATGCAACCTAGTTCAATCTTCAGATGACTCTCTAAGTATAGGTGCCATCTGACAGCCAAGTACAAGTCTCCAAGTTAGAATTTTCTAGCTGAGGTTTGTCATCTCACAGAACCATAAAGAATAATAGTAATAATAACAGTAACAATAACACTCCGGTGATATGCTTGTTTTATGTGATGATCTTTGCAACTGTATCCGACTTCTAAGTTTTTTTCATTGTAAAATAGAAAAACTACTTATCTTTCAGGGTTGTGTAACCATTAAAACAGCACAAAGCAGTGCCTGCACCAGAAGACAGTTCCTAACCTGCTGTAACAACTAAGTGATTGTGTCAATTCAAGTAAAAAGCAACCAACTAAATTAAATCAGAATAGTTCTGAAAGTAGCTGTACATAAAAGATTTACGTAAGACATGACCCACCCAGGATATGAACAGCAGCAACCAACAGGTTTGTGGCCTGAATAGAATAAAAAGGAAATGAAGAAAAGTCTGCTTTTCTTTAGAGAAGCTCCAGTCTTCACCTACACCGTGGATGCCCTCTCCTGGCCTCCAGCACACACTTCAGACTCCTAATGTGGACTCACACACGACACTACAGTGAGCTCCAAGTCTTGGGCTGGATCCTTCAGATCTCCAGCACATAGACAGCCTTTCTGTACTTTTCCCCATCTGACTGTGTGTAGCCACAGGAAGCCAATCTTGTGAATTCTTATATATTTGTAAGCACTGACTAATAAACTGCAATCTACCTAGTGGACATAGTACCACTTCACATGTATAGAACCCAGTATTCAATACCTAATTTGCATAATTAACAGCACTCACACTGACTTGGAGTCCCTTGAACAATGATGGTGAACCTCTGGCATACATGCTGCAGCAGGCTGTTTATCATTGAAAGCTCTACAAGATCTGTCATCACGGCCCTCCCTTCAAGTTTATTCCTTTTCTTCAATATCTCATTTGTCATCAAGTCTTACTGATTTCACCTCAAACATATTCTCACACTTGCCTCCTCCTACTGTCCTAGTTGACCACTGTCCCATTTCTTCCTGTAAAACTTTCCCCAAGTGATCAATCTCTTAATCCATTTTCCCACTGTTTTCTGAGTAAATTCTCTACACAGTAGAACTGATAATGCCATCTTAATTTAACTTATGGCTCTCAGTTTTCACAGGAAACAAGGGACAAGTTTTCAACCCTGTAAATTAAGCCAGTCACAACTAACTAGGTTCTGGCTTTATCTTCCCACTACCATCATCAGCTACCTAAAGTTCAGGAGTCTCTCGCTCCAGATTCACAACAAATATTTTTCTATTTCTACTCATGGTTTTTCTCCTTATCTTGGCATTATTCTAATCCTCCACCCAGTCAATTTCTATTCATATTTCAAGGTACAGTTTGCCATGAAGAGTACTTTCATCTACATTTCTACAACACCTCTAATATAATACCACAATTATCTCAGCTAATGAAACAATTATCAAATTTGTAAAACATTATCTTCCTAGTGTCTATGGTTCTTCCTAGCATAAGGCTGGTACTTAATAAATGTTGTATTATTATATAAATAACAAATTTTGAGAATTTTAATCTCAGAGTAAAAAGGTCTTCACAATTCAAATGGTAGGCATTTCCCATTTATCAGAGAAGGGAATTTATAATGCTGTATAGTTATTCCTGTTATGCCACTGCCATAGATGAGGATTATGAATGCTATGTAAGTACTTTGGTTATACAAAAATAAGAAAATCAAGTAGAAAATTTTAATACAATCTATCTTATCTACTCAGTGATTTCTCTGAAGAAAGAATAAGAAGCTCAGAACTACAATGCTTCTCAAGTGATAACAAGTATTTTTTCCACCATACAGGTTCTTAGGAACCATTTTAGGACCCAGCACCGTATTTCATTACTTGAGATGAATAAGTGAAACAAAGAAAAAGCTTAACTACCAAGGTCACAATCGTTCAAAGTGAAGGGCTAGCAATGAGAAAACATGATAAGGTGAAGTCAAAGGCATCAATAGGTAACATTTCTCTGGTGAATTTACATGACTTTTAGTCTTCCAGGTCCATGAATTCAATCTTCTGATTACCCCAGAGGTAATTTTATCCATTAAAAAAGACAGACTCAGAGATCGCAACCCACAGAAATGAGTAGAATCTAAGAATGCCAAATGAGTAAGATATAATAAACGCAAACCTTTAAAACTGCCCAACAAGGGCTGTGGAGATAGCTCAGCAGTCTAAGCACCTGCCTAGGCAAGCGTAAAGACCCAGGTTGGATGGATCCCTGGTACCACATGCCATGCTGGCTCTGCCCTGGGTGCACCAAGCCAGCCACCAAGACCAGGAGTGGTGATGCATGCCTGTAATCCCAGCACTGGGGAGGCTGAAAACAGGAGGATCAAAAGTCTGAGCTGAGTAGTAAGACCCTGTACCAAATACATCTAAAAAAAAAAAAAGAAAGAAAAAGAGTTTCCTTACATGTTGGGTATAGAAATATGTGCCTGTAATCCCAGATACTTCTAAGGCTGAGGTGGGAGAACCACAAGTTTGAGGCAAACCTGGGTAACACAGGACATTCCATGTCAAAACAAAACTGCCTAACAAGTCTCTTCATTTGGGTCTAACAGAACTCACACTGATTACCATCTTCTATGTGCTTTCTCCAAAGGTTTGTAACTGTGGGTTTGTTTTGTTTACAGTACAACACAAATGAGTATCTCTTCCTGAGGAAAAGTATACAGTATGACTAAACTAAAACCATAAGCTTTCTGGGTGAGCATGGAATCCCAACCAAGAGTGTGATAATCAATGAATCTATCTTTACAGTAGGGTCATAACTACATCAGGAAGAAATATTTGAGTTCTTCGGATAGGGAAACATTCCTCCTAGGAACCTACGACAAAACCAAAGGTCAACAAAGCATAGGAAAATGGAGGCCAAGCACCTGAAGTTTCTGAAATAGTATCAGCAGGAGTTCAAGACCAAGCATATGACTTACAGTGTAGTGTAGACATGCATAAAAAAATAGAGGAGCATTGGAAAATGTCAGAAACCATAAATGTCCAACATAGGAAAAGAAATGGAATCCATGAAACACATTCAAACAGTTATCTAAGAAATTAAAAATTCCTTTGAATGTTTGCAAAGCTGCATGAATGGAAGTGAAACAATGTGAACAATGTTAGGATCAACTACACTGACCATTTTACACATCCGATCTGAAAATCCTCAACTGAGTAAATAAAGTATGTGTAAGCCATTAAAAAAAAAAAAAAAAAACCTCTTAGCAAATTTCAGACCTAGAAAACAAGACTGTGGCTAGCAATCACAAAAAGAAAGATCTCAGGGTGGGGTTGGGATGATGCATGGCTCTACAAACTCTTGCAATGCCTGGCCAGCCCAACCAGCCCAGGACAGAGAAGGAAGAATTAGAAGATCATGTGATATTGACATAGGAGGATTTATCATGATGATTTTAGGATCAGGAAGGAACTGTCAGAAAAAAAAAGAAAAACAAAATTTTATATGAAAGCACCTACCTTGATCCTGTAAGAAAACCAACCATTAGCAGCAACTGAGCAACCTGAACACAGAATGAAGCTCCTTGAGTCAGTGTGAACAATGTTAGGATCAACTACACTGAGCATTTTATACATACAATCTGAAAGTCCTCAACTGAGTAAATAAAGTATGTGTAAGCTATTTAAAAAAAAACAAAACAAAAACCTCTTAGCAAATTGGTCAAGCAATGGCTGTGATCAACATGACTGACACTGACAAAAGATCTACAAACTGCTGTACAGGGCTTCAGAGTACATCCAAAGGGGATCTGACTGACCTTGTCAGATACAGAAGT